TTTTAATGACAGAAAAATGTGGAAATCCCGAAATGCCAATCAACAGCCACAGCCACAAAATGGAATGAAGCCACTCAAGTTCCACACACAACATGGACGCACTTGAAAACCTTATGCCGAGCAAAAAAAATTAAAAAAAAGCCAGACACAAAAGGACACACATCAGAGGGTTCTAGTTCCATGAAAGACCCAGGAGAAACAGCAGGATCTTTGGGAAGAAGAGCGAGAGGTGGCTGCAGGGCCAGTGTGGAGCATCTTTTCAGGTGGATGGAAACTGCCTAAATTAAACAGCAGTGTTGGCTGCACACCACTGAACAAGCTAAGATCCACCAAATCATACGTCTATCTGTCTATCTATCTATGTATTTATCTGTTTATTTGTTTTGGGTGGTACTGCGGATTGAACTCAGGGCCTTGTGCTTTGTAGGCAAGTCGTCTACACCTGAGCCACACCTCCAGCTGAATCATGTGTGTGAGTTTATTTATTACTATTAAAGCAATTTTTATTTTGGTGTCACTGGGTTTGAACTTAGGGCCTGTGCTTGCTAGACAAGCACTCTACTATTTGATTCACACATCCAGCCTGAATCATATATTGTTGAAGGGTGACTGGATGGTATGTAAAACATATCACAGAAAAAACTGCCATTAAAAACCCATGGAGAGACTCTGGCAGCAGGTTCTGGTCTAGCAACACTGCCCAGGGAGAATGAGGCTTCTTGCTGTCTTGCAGGTTCTGCCTCTTGCTCCACAGGTGGACCCAAGCTCCTTCTCACTTTCTGATCAGACCTTGCAAGCACACCTGTCTCTCGAGGATCTGTCAAGGAAAGTCGTTCGCAAACACCAAATGCTAGCCTTTCTAGGATTTCAGGATGTTACTCTGCTTTGCTAGTGATCACATTAAGTCGGCCACTTGTTTGCTGAAACAGAGGGAAAACCTGAGTCGTCCCAATTCTCTTCATGTCCTCCTTCCCGTCAAAAGCTGCAAACTCTGCAACTGCACTGGGAGCCCAAGTCCATCCCTGGGTATCTGACTTCCTTCAAACTCACATGTGCATACACATCAAAGACAAACATAAAATTCGGAACAAACACCCTTAACACATAGAATCTATGGTACTAAATCAGGAATTGTTCTTTTTCAGGCAAGGCAGCTTTTCAGGCACGTCCCACAAGACAGAGCCTGAAGAACTCTCAAAATAGCTGTTAACTCTGACACGTCCACTGCACAATGAGATGGCCGTGCTAACATCACTGCAGCTTAATCTCCTCCATGTGAGTTAATGCTATGCTTTCTTCTCTCATTTGCAACTGTTATATCTAGTGACTGTACTAAAGTGTCCACTTGTCCAACATGCTACAGAAACACATACCAAGTGGAAAACCAGGAGACTGGAGAAGCCATGCACTGGCCTGGGCGGAGCAATGGAGCTCCCGAAGCTGCTGGGTTACAACCATCAGCACCACCAAGCTGGAAAACACTTGCCACCAGGCTAAGGTAAAACAGGCACAAAACCTTAGGTCTCATTCTGTCTGAGGCAAACTCAATGGCACTGCAAAGCTCTGTCTGTCCTGAGACACAGAGTGAGTGAGTGTGGATAACAGCACCATTTGTAAGAACTCTAGCTGTAGCTTCCCAGAGCCCACCACACCAAACATGCAGGGACATGTGCAGCCAATGGAATATTCTACAGTAAACAGACTATTGTGACATGCAAGAGAGAAGTCTCCCAAAACAATGTTCACTAAGAGTTCATTTAGATGTGTTCAAAGCCAAGCAAAAAGGAGTCGTGCCAGGGGTGGGCACAGTGAATGAGCACAGAGCACGTGGGCTTCTGGGGCTGCCCGTGCTCACCCATCTGCTGCAGCCACAGCACTCACTCTGAAAAACTTACTAAGGTACACATGACTGGGCAGTTTTCTTTATTAGTACTTTACTTCATTAAAACTTACGTTTAAGAAAAACACTTTTATAGACATCGTCTGGGTATCTAAGCACCACTTAGAAATTTTCCTATCAATGGAGCAATATTCAAAATAAGAAGCACACCAGCCACTATGTTAGAAATACTTTAAGATAAGATATTGGGGTGTCACAAGAGAGACGACACTACTCAGAAGTCAACAGGCAAGAGAAAATTTGCTTCTGCAGAAAAGTGCACACCAGGAAGTCTGGGAGGCATGCACACTGGGCAGGAAGTCCACAGAGGATTTATCTGACGCCGCTGTCCCTCTCCTGCCCCTGGATTGGGCAGGTTTTGGGCTCACAGTCTATGCAGTTGGCTAATTAGAAAGGGGCCAGGTTAGGAAGGGGCTTTGGGAACAAAGAAATTTAAAAGCTCAGGGAAGCAGTAACTGTTTTAGGTTATCAGCTCCGGAACCAGGGCATCTGAAGGAATTCTTGCCCCGCTGAGGATAACAATCCTTTGTTCTTAATAGAAACTTTTATCACATTAAGCAAAGTCCAGGAAGTGAATGTATGGGAAGGAGTTAGTGAGACCAACACTAGTAATAGCGGTGGTTACTGATTAAATCCTTTAACAGAAAAGACCCAACCTAAGTTGATTCTCACAACTATATCAGAGGCTGATCAATTAGACCTAAACTGAGGTTTCCATCTGTAGTCAGAGCCCCAGAGATTGGGACTGAGGACAGGACATAAAGCAGTAGTTAACACAAAAAGACTCCTGAACCCCACACGACACCAGCTCTGAACTACATAATGTCTGAGGTAAGAGAGCAGGACCATACTTTCCCTGATGTAGTCTAGAGTGAGGGGCAGGGCCACTCTCTCCCTACTGCTGTCTATGGTGGGAAAGCTGGGCCGTACTCTCCATGCTGATAACCTGGGTGAGAATGAAGAAGGATCACACTCACACTCTTCCTGAGCCACTGGGTAAAACACTGCACATTTGAGACCCACCCTAAAGCAGGCCTCTCCCAGGCCGACAGCTCTCCTGGCCACGGTGACACCCACTCCTATTGGGCAACCTCCCTCATATACACACTGCCCAGTTCTGAAGGCCTGTTCCATATACCAACAAAGCCAAATTCAGAAACATTGACCTTGTGGGCTGACTGGCCACAGGCCTTTTTTTTTTTTTTTTTTTTTTAATCAAATCAAGTAAGAAAACTGCTCAAATAAAACGTTCACAGCTGGGCTGTGTGTCACAGTTATGAGGTAAGGACATTGGGAATGATTAAGGAAAGCACCAAAACAGTACTGTCCTGGAATCAGACCTCTATAAACTGTGGGATACAATTAGACACAGAAGATTAAGGCTGGATTTTTTTTTTTTTGATGGGTCTGTGCTTTGAACTCAGGACTTTGTGCATGCATAGTAGGCACTCTACCACTCAAGCCAGGATTCCAACCAATTTTGCTCCGGTTATTTTGGAGATGGAGTCTCTTGAACTATTTGCCTGGGCTGGCCTCAAACTCTGATCCTTCCCATCTCAGCCTCCCAAGTAGCTAGGATTACAGAGGTGAATCACTGCACCTGCACCTGCCCACACACAGCAATTTAAAGGAAATGAAAATTAAAGTATATAAATAACCATCTTCCTACCCCACTGCTCATCTCCAGACTGAAATTGAGAGGTTAAGAATGGTAATTAGGGCTGGTAGACTGGCTCAAGTGGTAGAGCGCCTGCTTAGCAAGAATGAGACCTTGAGTTCAAACCCCAGAATCACAAAAAGAAGAATGGAACTAAATTTTAGGTTTGCAGTACCATTTCAACAAAAATACTTTTAATAGTTTCTACACCATACTTTTAAAAAAATTCTCATGTTTTAGCCACAATAAAAAAGTATTTGAACCAGGTGTAATGATGTAAGCCCTGTAATCCCAGCACTCAGGAGGCGAAGGCAGGAAGATCCCAAGTTTGAGGCCAACCTGGGCACAGTGAAACCCTATTGCAAAAGAGTCAGGAGCTGGTGGCTCAAGCCTGTCATCCTAGCTACTCAGGAGGCAGAGATCAGGAGGATCACAGTTCAAAGCCAGACCAAGGCAAATAGTTCATGATACCTTATCTCAAAAAAACCCATCACAAAAAAGGGCTGGTGGAATGGCTCAAGGTATAAGTCCTGAATTCAAACCCCAGTACCACAAAAAAAAAAAAAAAAAAAAAAAAGACAGACAGCTAGACAGAGACTGAAGGTTAATTAACTGAGTACCCTGTCCAGTGAGAGCAACATACTTTCCAGTAAGTCCTCGGACTAAAGGAGGCAGCATCACAACTCCCCATCCCCTGCAGCCAGGAGGCTTTGGTTCACCCTTTACTAACACATTACTGAAATGTGGTCTGTACAATCCTGGCAACAGGGCCTGACCATGCCCAAGGAGAAGCTGACAACTCTACTTCCAGTACGTCATCCTGCCAGGCTTCTTTAAGTAACTGACATGCAAATCTATACCCAACAGAGAGGACGAACCCCATCCATGAACAGCACACAGGAGACATTACAGCAGAGAGGCAGAGGTGAGAATCCAGCACCAAAAGATGCAGAGCCTGGCTTAATGCAGAGAAACAGAAAGGCTCTCCTTCCTTCCTCTTCTGACCAGCTCTATTGTTTGTATATCCACTTGACACAGAAACAGCACTCCCTTTTTTTTAAGTCTCTATAGGAATCAGTTCCATTCTCAGCAGACTAGAACCCCAGAGTTGCCTCCAGGGGACAAACATATGGCCCACTGGAAGAACTGCATTAAAATGTGACCACTAAGACACTGATGGGGGAGGAACAAGAAGCAAGATTTGAAAGTACTCCAGTCCCAGTCAATCTTGACACCTTTGACAATGCCAGGCAACCAGCAGCCTTCCAGGCCCAGGCTTCCCTGTGAAGGAACTGAACCAGAGAAAGCAGGGGCCCACCGACCACTGCCCACTTCTCACTGAGATCAGTCTCTCAGGACTGTAACCTGCCTCACTCCTCACTCAGAACTAAGAACTCAGCACACAAGAGCAAGCCCGAGGCTTGGTTCTGTCTAGCATCTTACCTGACTTGCTCCCAGGTCTTGGTGGCCAAGTGTAGAACCCACAGATCCTTATAGTGATAGAATTGCTCTCCGTCAGGAGAAGCAAACTCCCCTCCAAAGACCCACAGCTGTCCGCCACCCTGAGGCACCACCACAGCCTGTAAAAGGAAAGCGGACAGGTAGGTCAGCCACACAGCAGTACAGCTGGTCCCTGGGTGACCAGCAGTGTCAGCACCATCCACTCAGTGCATTCAGGGACCCCCCACTTAGCCATATCTTTTCCTGCTTCCAAGGGGAGGAAGATTCTGGAAAGTATCTTCCTGACACACTGTTCTGTCAAAAACCCAATGCACTTTCATGTCTCCTAGGCTACAAAGTAAAGATTCACCATCAACAATGCCAGATTCCAATAAAACAGGGTTTCAAACTTCACAGTCACAACACAAGCTAACAGGGCATTCTTTTTATTAAATAGTCACAGTAAAACTACTTCAAGCATAAAGGCTCTTACTGAAATCCTAAGCTACTCAAGAAGCAGAGACTGGGAGAATCATGGTTCATTTGGGGCATGGTGGTACATGCCTTTCATTATAGCTATGAAGGAAGCATAAATAGAAGGGTCTCAGTCCAGGTCTCCAGGCATAAATGTGAGATCCTATTAAGAAAATAACTAAAGCTAAAAGAATGTGGCATAAGGCCTTAAGTTCAAACCCAAGTACTGCCAAAAAAAAAAAAAAGCCATAGCCACTGACTCATGCCTATAATCCTAGGAGGCTGAGATCGGGAGAATCACGTTTCAAGGCCAGCCTACACAAATAGTTCGAGAGCCCCTCATTTCCAAAATAACCAGGACAAAATGGGCTAGAGGTTTGGTTCAAGTGGTAGAGCGCCTGCTTAGCAAGTATGAGGCCCTGAGTCCTGAGTTCAAACCCAGTACCACAAAAAAAAAAAAAACCCACAAAAAAAGGAAGAAAGAAAATCAACATAAGACAAAGTAGCTGTCTAAAACAAAAACATGAACATTGCACTGTAGGGCTCACAATATAGAAAGAAGTATTTGCCAGTAATGGTATGAACGAACAATGGAAGGAGAAATGTGGGTGCTCTCCTGCAAAGTTCTCACAGCTCACAAGAAGCAGCAAGATAAACTGTCAAAATAAGGAAGTACGCTGCAAACCATACAACAACCACGAAAACAACGCAAAATAAGAAACTGCTAATAAGCCAACAGAGAAAATAAAAATGATATGAAATGTACTCAATTCAAAAGAAGGCAGGAAAAAAGAAAAGCACAACAGTTGGGACAAACAGCAATAGCAATATCAAAAACACTACTGAGCTGGTGGAGCGGCTCAAGTGACAGAGCGCTTGTCTAGCAACTATGAAGTCCTGAGTTCAAACCCCAGTACCACCACAAAAAGCAAAGAAAGAAATTTAAAAACATTACTGATAGCCATATCAAAAATTAATTGCAGACTTTGAGCACATGATAAAAGCGAGAGCACACAAGGGAGAGGTGAGGATAGGTAAGACACCTAAAAAATTAGCTAGCATTTGTTGCCCTTAACGCAGAGAAACTAAAGCAGATACCTTAAAAGCAACTGAGGCCAATAGGAAAAGGGGACCAGGAACTAGAGAAAAGGTTAGATCAAAAAGAAGTAACCTAGAAGGTAACACCCACGCACAGGAAATCAATGTGAGTCAATGCCCTGTATAGCTATCCTTATCTCAACCAGCAAAAACCCTTGTTCCTTCCTATTATTGCTTATACTTTCTCTACAACAAAATTAGAAATAAGGGCAAAATAGTTTCTGCTGGGTATTGAGGGGGTAGGGGGGAGAGGGAGGGGGTGGAGTGGGTGGTAAGGAAGGGGTGGGGGCAGGGGGGTGAAATGACCCAAGCCTTGTATGCACATACGAATAATAAAAGAAAAAAAAATACATTGCATTGGACAGGAAAATATATCAATTAAAAAGCACAGATTCTCAAACTATATTTAAAAACAGGACTCAATCACAGCACTGTTTACAAGAAATGCATTTTTAAAAAAACAATTATCTATTTATTCATTTATTTATTGGTGGGATTGGGATTTGAACTCAGGACTTTGTGTTTGCAAAGCAGGCACTCAACTGCTTAAGCCCCACCTCCAAGTCCAGGAAATGCACTTTAAATAGTAGGTGCTAAAATGATAGGAGTAAAAGAAGCAGGGAGGATAACATGCAAACTCAAGTCCTAAGAAATGGAGGATAGCTGTGCTAACAGCAGACAAGCAAATTTCAGAACACAGGTTCCCAGGGCTAGGTCAGTAAGTTCATGGAAGACCTGAGTACCATCAGGTCTGAACTAATAAGGACACTGTAAGCAGCTACAGAAAATGTACAGTCTTGCAAACACACACAGAACAGGCACCAGGATAAACCATATTAGCCACAACGCAAACCTCAAATTTAAAAGGATTAAATCACAAGTCCTCTTTGAAATAGAATTAAACACAAATAACAAAAATGTATCTGGAAAAATCCCAAAATATTTGTAAATCAAACAACATAGTTCTAAACACTGCAACCCATGGGCAAGATGACATCTAAAAACAACTTAGGCTGGGTGCCGGTGGCTCACACCTGTAATCCTAGCTACTTGGAAGACTGAGATGGGGAAGATCATAGTTCAAGGCCAGCCTGGGCATTTATAGTTCAAGTGACTCCTTCTCCAAAATAACTGGAGCAAAATGGACTGGAGGTGCAGCTCAAGTGGTAGAATGCCTGCTTTACAAGTATGAAGATCTGAAGCTGAATTCAAATCTCAGTGGCACCAAAAAAAAAAAAAAAAAAGGAACACAGCAAGAAGGTCAAGTGTGTCTCAACGCTATATCCCCAGCACACAGGATGGTACCTGGCAGATAAAGGACATCTTTTTATTGAGAGCATGGCCTACTGAGATGGAGTGTCAGGAAGTAATTACTCAGTTGTAGGTGAGTATTTTCTGAGATGTTGCTTATTTCATAAACACGTGCACACATTAACTCCTCCCCCAGAACCACCCACTGCTCACTGACTTGCAAAGGCCAGTAAGAACACAGATGTTGTTTTTACCCAGCTGCAACTTTCTTCTTATACTTTTTGAGAAAATGCATTTCATTTCAAATGAATCCTGGACTATTACTTTGGGGAAACAAACCATCAAGTGAATAGAGAGACAAGCTCACAACCTTCAACTTTCGCACCCATCTCATTGTACCTCCATTTCTCAGTCTCACTTGCAGCAGCTGCCTATGGTCTCAACAGACCAAGCAGAAGAGTTATCTCTACTACCTGCTCCCTCCCTTTCTCTGTTCTGAGGGCAGAGTCAGTGATGAAGAGGACTGAGCGTCCTCCTTGTGGAGCCTGGGGAACACCTTTCCTGAGAGCCACAGAGCAGCTCTAACGATACCCCTCCCCTCCTCCCGTGTCAGCAAAAGTGAGCTAACTCCATGCTAACCTAGTGCTATTTCATTATGACTCACTTCACCCTAAAATAATTCCTTTCCTCCTACCCTCTGCCCCTTTCCCGACCATCCTATCTTTCTGTGGTCACCACCTAGTCCAGAAAGTGGACTTACGGGATCCTCTCATTGCAATGGGAAGCAAGCATCCTACTGAGAGCTGTTACACATGAGCAACGACATGAAGTCATTTTACATGGAGTATTTCATATGACCTTCACACCACCTGCGAAGGAGCATGTGCTCACTTTCCTACCTCACAGGTGAGAAACACAAGTATGAAGAAGCTTAGTCAAGAGTTCAAGGTAGAACATGGAAGAGCCAGAACAACCCACGAAAGCCCAGCCTCTCTGTAGGAAGCTGCCTGTCACTTTCAGATTCTAAAGGTCAAGCAGACTGATGAAGAGGGAGGAATGCTGATGGTCATGACATTACCTGGTGAGCACAGCGCCTCGGAGGTGGACCAGGGATGTCAATTTTAGTCCAAGTATCCTTTTTGATATTGTAGACATAGAGGTCGTTATACACAAAAGTCTGTGAGAAGGAAGAGGAACTTCAGTGTCATGTATTATATGCTTGCAGGAAAGTAATGAGGATACTCTCAGTTATTAGAATCCTCTAGGAAAGTTGTCCCTAAACTAGTGTCAATCACACCCATGCAGACAGGCCATATGCAGGTCCCAAGGTCCCACCAAAGGCTTAAGTCCCAAAGAACTCAGCATAGTTGAAAATACTGAGTGGAAGCCAGAACAGTGGTTCACTGCTGTCATCCCAGTTACAGGGAGGAGGACTGAAATCCAAGGCTGGCCCCAGGCCAAATGAAACATGAGACCATCCTGAAAATAACTAAAGCAAAAGGCTGGAACATGGCTCAGTCAGTGTACAGCACCTGACTACAAGTGCGAGACCTTGAGTTCAAACCCCAGTAGGGGGGGAAGAAAAAGAGAAAATATTGAGTCAAAAATGCTTTTAACATATCTCGTAGCTTAGCTTGGCCTACTTTAAACATATCCAGAACACTCATACGTCAGCCTACAGCTGGACAAAGTCATCTAACTCTCAGCCTATGGTATAGTAAGCCTGGAAATCTCATGCCACTTAAGAAGCAACGCCCTGACTGAACAGAAGAATGGTTGCAGGGGTACCCTTTTCCAGTCTATCATCAAAAACTCATAAATGGAAACCTTATAAGTCAGGGGAAAAGGCCAGACGTTCACAACACCTACTCATCTCTCGGGCACTGAGAGCCTTTGCTGCTAAGAGTGGTCACTCTTCCATTTCAAGCCTACTTTTTAAATGCATGGAAATCCAGAGGCAGACTCGGAGGTAAGCACCCCCCCCACCACCCTTTTTTTTTTTTCAAGACCATCCCACCTCTGAAATAACCAGAACAAAATGGACTGGAGGTGTAGTTCAAGTAGTAGAGTGCTTGCTTTGCAAGCATGAAGCCTGAGTTCAAACCTCACTACCACCCCCAAAAAAAGTGTTGGTTTATCCCGACACAGGGCTACTCTGAGGTGGAGATGAGGAGGATCATAGTTTGAGGCTAGCCCAAGCAAAAAGTTATTGAGACCTCCATCTCAACAAATAAACTGAATGTGGGGTGCATGCCTGTGATCCCAGCTATTCGGGAGATGTAGATAGGAATGTGGTCTGAGGCTGGCCCTAGGCAAAAATGTAAGACCCTATCTGAAAAATAAAGCAAAAAGTCTGGGGGTGTGGCTCAAGCGTGGAGCCCCTGCATAGCAAGTGTGAGGCCCTGAGTTCAAATCCCAGGACCACCAATAAATAAATAAATGTAAAAATTAGCCCTGCAACTTATTAGCACTTTCTTTATTCAAATAACTCTGAGGGCTAGAAGGATAGATTAGTGGTAGCAGACTTGCCTAGCACATGCAAGGCCCTTGGGTGGACCAGCACCATAAAACAAAACAGAAACAACTGTGAATGTGAACAGTGAGGCCATCAGAAGGAAGAGCAGTCTGCACAATCAAGACTGTGAACAGCCCACATGTCAACTGCTGGAGGGCAGGTGGGGACGGGAATGACTGGGGGAGAGCTGAAGGTGTGGCCAAGTAGAAAACAGGAGGGCTCTTGCAGAACTAATGCTACACAGGTGCTCAGTCCAAGGGTCCTGGTGATGATCAAGGACACCTACACCAATTCTACTCAGGAGGTAGGATCTATAAGAGGGAAGTGAAAGGACCAATGCTTATTTATGTTACAGCTTTAAGTGAACACTACTTCAAGTAAGACCCAGGAAAAGTTGGGAGGAAAAGAAAAAATATACTTTACTTTTTGGCCATTGAAATATTCACCTCCGAAAAGGATTAATTCATCTTTCTCTGGATGAGCAGAGAGGGAGGCATTCAACCTGCAGGAGACACAAGCAGCAGATGAGTATGTCAGACCTGTGTGTAGGCTAAGTGCCAGGCTCCCTTCTGCCAGCATAGCTTCTACGAGACATGAGGTGAGAGAGGTCTGGGACCGGGAACCACCCTGCCACCTCCAACCCAATGCCAGGTTCACAACCCCAGAAGAGCTGGGTCAGAGCCACCCCACTCAGAACTGGCTGAAAACAGCACCAGACCTCTAACTACATGCAGAATCTTCCAGACCTGTGCTGTTTTAAGAGTCCAACTTCTTAAATCACAATTACAACTGTTCTACAAAGTCCAGTGTTTAAGCATTTCAATATATGTCCAGGAATCTCCCATCTAGAAAATGTCAGTAACTTTCTATTTATTTCACACACAGGACAAAAGAGCAGCTGTAAGGGAAAGTATGCATACATTCTCGCTATTTGAGGAGTAAGCTGGCAAAGAAGCAGTGATCACAGGGCCAATCGCTGGAAAATGCCCAGCTTTCAGAACCCTCTACACTGGGGCTCCCAAGGTGTGTCCACACCACTTATTCAAAAAGACACTTCACAAGGGACAAACAGGTTTTGAGGTCAAGTAAGTTTAGGAAATCTGAAACCTCCATTTTTCTCTCGGGGATTTACTGTGTACAGAAACATTTCACAGGTTGAGAAATTCTGCAGTGAAGAAAACAGTACTAAAATAGTGAAAACAGTTTGGCCGTCCCTCAAAAAGCTAAATCCAGAGTCACCATATGCATCAGTAGTTCCACCGAGGCACAGACTCAGATACCTCATGGCAATGCTCACTACAGCATTATTCACGGTGGCCAAAAGCAGAATCAGCCCAAGCATCCGCTACTGGTGAAAGGAAAAGCAAAGTGTGACAAGCTGCAAAACAGGAATGAAGTCTGACGCCCTGCTGCAGATGAACCTACAGATCCTGCCCAGTTCCATGCACTTTGTACAGTGTATGAAAATACCAAACACAGAAAGGGCTGGTGGAGTGGCTCAAGTGGTAGAGTGCCTGCCTAGCAAGCGTGAGACCCTGAGGCCAAAGTCCAAGAGCTCTAGAAAGAAAGAAAGAAAAAAAAAAATACCCATCACAAAAAAAGGGCTGGCCATGGTCCTCCTGATCTCTGCCTCCTGAGTAGCTAAGATTAGAGGCGTGAGCCACTGCTGCCAGCTGTATTGGGTATTTTTGAGATACGGTCTCACTTTTGTTTGGGCTGGCCATGTCCTCCTGATCTCTGCCTCTCGAATAGCTAGGGTTAAGAAATGTGAACCACTGGTACCCGGCTTCAAGGTGTTTTGAAAGTATACATCACAAGTGGAAAATCACCTACTTTTAAATTGTCACATGAAAAATTTATTACTTGTAAAAAAAAAAAAAAAGAAAGAAAAATTTATTACTTGTAAAATGTGCACAAACCATTTTAAATAAATTTGTGAATTACGAAAAAAGAAATCCTAAATCTTTTGTAGGATTTCAAACACTATGGACTGAGCTGACTGCACAGGCCCAGCCCCCCTGCAATTCCCCAGGGCCAACTTCGGTCTATGACCCTTCTACTTATGCCTCCCCTGTAGCTGGAGTACAGATTACAGGCAAGGACCACCATGCCTTTTTTGTGGCATCACTGGGGTTTGAACTCAGGGACACGCTGCTAGGAAGACACTCTTACAGCTTGAGCCACTTCAGGACGGGTGACGGCACAGCTGCCTTCCCATGGTGGCTCTGATTTGCTACTGAGAGACAAGTTCATCCTCACTGAGGAATGATGCAAACCCAGAGGCCTGAGGCTCACACATTTTTCCAATCAGTACAATACGCCACCTGTTTCCTGGGGAAATGGACCTGTCCTAGGCTCCTAACCTGATGCCTCAGTGTCTTGCCTCCATTCTGAGCAGCAAAGAGAAGAATCAGAGGCCCTGAATCAAGTTCAGAAGCAATTAGAACTCAGAAGCTGGGAGGAAGAAGGCAGGCAGAGCCTAAGGCCTGTACAGTTCGGCTCAGTCCATAGTGTTTGAAATCCTACAAAAGATTTAGAATTTTTTTTTCATAATTTATAAATTTATTTAAAATAGATAAGCACAATTTACAAGTAATAAATTTTCCACATGACAATTTAAAAGCCTTAGACTAAAGGTGAGGCTCAAGTGGTAGAGTACCTACTTTGCAATCATGAAGCCCTGAGTTCAAGCCCCAGTACCACCAAAAATAAACAAATAAATAAATAAATAAAAATATAAAAGCATTAAGAATAAACAGCAAAAAACTACGTGATTTTTGACTTTTCACCTGTGGTGTACACTTTAAAACACACTGAAACTTGGCACCAGTGGCTACACTTCTTAATCCTAGCTACTTGGGAGGCAGCAGAGATCAGGAGGATCACGGTTCAAAACCAGCTGGGCAAATAGTCTGCAAGACCCTATCTCAAAAAGACCCTTCACGAAAAAGGGCTAGTGGAGTGGCTTAAGGTGTAGGCCCCGAGTTCAAACCCCAGGACCATAAGAAAGAAAGAAAGAAAGAAAATAAAATACCCAACACAAAAAAGGGCTGACTGAGTGTTCAAGCCTGCCTAGCAAGCATGAGGCCCTGAGTTCAAATTCCAATACTGCCAAAAAACCAAACAAACCACCTTGAAACCTAGGAAAAGCTGTTTGGTGCAATATGCTTATCCACAAACTGCTGCCAGCCGGAAAGCCTTCACATATGGCCCATATCCTAGAGCAGTCACATACTGGGAAACCTCACCTGCACCCCCTGCGGGGCAGGAACTGACAGCCTCACCCAGCACTTAGCGAGGAAAATGGCTCAAGTGCCTGGTCACCTAGTGAAGATGTCAAGCGGCTTTCCAACTCCGAGAGGAGAAGAAACAGGAACTAGAAGGCACTTACCGTGGGCAGGGCGGGGAGCAGGGGGTCTCCGTGACCTGGGTCTTTCTGGCATCCAGAGACTGGAAATGGGCTATGAGGGCTTCCAGGTCTTCCTAGGGGCACACAAGCAGCCACATGTGAGTCTTTCAAAAACCTGTCATGGAGTCAAAAGCCTGGCCAGCTTTCCTCCTCTGTCAATGTCACTGGACCAGGATCCAGTTATACTCATGCATTCTAACATGCTCCTCCTGGGTTCAGAGTACACAGAGTTTGACATATTCAAAAACTATTCGGAGCTCAGCCTAAAAGGCAGCTTCCTTGTAGGTGTCGATGTACACACTACTAAGTAGTATCTCATTCCAGACCTCCAGCTACTAAAGGGCCTTCCATGTATACAAGCCCAGCTGACCTCACTGCTTACACCTTTAAGGGCAGGGTCTCTGAGAACCCAGGCCTAGGCGTCCACCAGCCTACCTTGCTGTCTGCACACTGGTGCCTCCTATTTCTCTTGCTCATTTGTTTGTCTTCTGCCCCCACCAAACCCCCACAATAAAATATGAGCACCAGAAGAGTAGGCCTTAAGCCCATTAGAACACCACAAACACCTGCAGTCCACTGCCCAGAGGACACAGCCATAGCTGTGAAATAGACCTGGAAGGTAAGGTACTGGTTCTGGGCAGCACTAGAAACCAGCCTTTTCCCACCCTTGCCCAGTGCACATTCCCTTACCCTAGTGATGCAGGCCTGTCACCTGGAAAGTCCCACACTCTCCTTGATCTCCTCTCTGCTCATTGCCCTCACCTTATTCAAGCTGACCTAGAATCTGCCCCTTCTCTTCCTCCCACATTTTGCAGGGCCTAATGGTAAGCCACAGATCTTCTTGAACCTACAGGCACTTGTAGAGCATTTTCCCTCCTCCCCACTCCCACCCTCTAAGGGGCACCAGCCTCCTTAGTTCCCTGGGCTTCCTCATGCTCGCCCCTGTCTCAGGGTGGATGCTAACCCCTCCAGGTTAGGAGCTCTCACAGCAGGACACGCTCCTTGCAGTAGTATTAATCACACACGCAGGAAGCTACAAAGTGAATGCAAAACACTCCTGCATGCATCCACCAGCTCAAGGAAGACAGCATTCTCCAGCTAGCATCTTAGTATGTAACCCAGGCTGACCTCAAACTCCTGCCTCAGTCTCCCAACTGCTGGAATTACAGGTGTGCACCTCCACGCCCAATGCTACTTATTATTCTCAAGGGTTTTTTTTGGCGGTACTAGTGTTTGAATTCAGGGCCTAATGCTTGCTAGACAGGTGCTCTATGACTTGAGTCACTCCTTCAGCCTTTTTTGTGCTGGATATTTTCGAAATAGGACCTTGTGAACTCTTTCTCCCAGCTAGCTTTAAACCATGATCCTCCTGATCTCTGCTCCCTTCCTCCTGAGTAGTTAAGATTACCCAGCACCCGGTCTCAAACAATTCTTTATATTTTTATTATGTATGTGTGCATCCCTAAGCACTACACCACTGTTCTACATTCTTAAGTTTTATTAAATGCTATAATACTATATATTTTCTTGCAACTTGCTTTTCTGCCCAGTTCTGCCAACTAAACAGTTTGATTCACTAAAACCACTCATTCAAAATGTAGACACATCTTCCCACTGAAGAACAGCTATATTAATTCCTTTTTTTTTTTTTTTTACAAGTAATACCACTACAACTTTTTTTTTTTTTCTTTGCAGGGCCTCATGCTTGCTGCGCAGATGCTCTACAACTTGAGCCACTCCGCCAGCCCATTACAGCCATTCTTGTGCCTGTATCCACATGGAAATGGGGAGTTTTTCCAAGAATAGTGTCCAGATGTGACTGCTAGGCTGTAGCAGCCACTTTCTAGATAAAGACAAAATAGGGATCCAAAATGGCTTCACAGATTTATGTGCTCACCAGCAGGCTACAGACAGGCCACAGAAGCATCCAGTAGCCTGCCCTTTCCACGTGGTAGTTCTGTGACAGCTGCCCATGGACCAAGTCTCTTATGCACAACATACTACATTCCATACTCAAGACATATTACTGAACAAATGGAACTTTACAGAAAGGCCTGGATGGAGAGGGGACTGTTGGAAGATGAGAAGGAATTAGAGACAACCAGTGGGAAAGGGAGCACACTATAATTGTCCTGGTACTGCAGTCCATCGGTCTAAGGCCTCCCCCTGCTATTAACTAAACTTCCCCACATGTCTCCTGGTGAAGGCAGCTTCTGTGGGCATTTCCTGGATCCACATGTGAAACCAAAGCACAGTGTGGGTAAGGGTGCAAAGGCACCATTACTCATCAGAAGGGTAGGCTGGGGCATCCTCAACTTCACCTCATACACTTCTTGCCAGCTAGCCCACCAGCCCTCCATATTCTTTCATGCTAAGCCAATCTCGCCAGACCACAATGGCTGTGCACCAGGAATGCTCCTACTACTACCCTAGAGCAGCATTTCTTATCGTTGAGCCTCATAATCACCAGACGGGGGAAGGAGAGGGCAGAGTCTGGGTGGCACAGACTCTGTCACTGACAGCCTCTCCAAGTGACAATCAACTGGAAGATGAAAAGAGTTGAGTCATGAGGAGTGTAACTGGGATAGAGGTAAATCCCATAAGCAGCAAAAACATGGCAAATTTGAGATACCAGAATAAAGGGGGTGTGGCTAAAGAAGTGCCCAGGAGAGCTGGAGGGGAAGAATCCAGGGCATAGAGAGGCTGTCTATGGTAGAACTCCCAACTGTCTCCAAGGTTCCTTTCCCTTCCCAATAAGCCCCAGAACTATGCAATGATTGGGTATCACTCCTGTGACCAGCATATGTTATGTGATATGGCTGACTTTTAGAAAGGGAGATATCCCCTAATTATCCTGATTAGGGCTGACCTAATCAGATTGCCAAGGACCTAAAGGTTTGTCCTGAGAATGAACCAAGATAGTATGCAAGTCCCAGATGGGACAACTTCTCTTTTTTCAGGGAAGCTGTCACGATTATCTAAGTACCATGACCTACTGGGAATGTGAAGAGTAAACACAACAGGTGATAGCCAGTTACCAAGCACCTACTTTGTCCTAAGCAGTTCCAAAGATACCACAGATGAACTGATTACTGCTGTGCCACAGCCCTCAGCAGTCAGCCCTGCTCTCTGAGGTCTGCCAGCCAACTGTGAGAGGCAAGACTCAAACCAAATGCTCTGCCTACAGAGTCTGTGTACTTAACTGGTCAAAGCCTTAGAACATTAGAGCCTCCAGCAAGTTAAGGGAAAAGTCCAACTCCATTATTAGACAGAGGAGGACAGAGATGAGTAATCTAGGGAGAAAGGGGGCAAAGGAATGTGGCCAACAGCTCTGGAGTGGGGATGTCTGCTCAAATCCTAGCTGCACACAATTCATGGCGTGTGGCTCTGGGCTGTGCAACCTGTTGGTCTGACTTCCTTCCTGTCCAGTGTGAATACCAATGCTTCCTATTCTGAGGCTGTGAGGAGAAAGCCCAGAGAACACAGTGCGTGGGACACTAAAAACTCTGGGTCAACACTGGTTATCAGCTGCCCCGGGAGCATCAGAAAAGTCCACAGAAAGCACAGCAATTAACCCTGTAAAAATCAGTTTAGGTCAGGTCTTTTCTGACAAAGAATTTAACCAGTAATAACCGCCTTACTAACTCGCTTCCCATAAGCTCGCTTCATGGACTCAGCTTAGTATGATAAAAGTTTCTATTAAGAACAAAGGGTTGTTATCCTCAGCGGGGCAAGAATTCCTCCAGATGCCCTGGTTCCGGAGCTGATAACCTAAAACAGTTACGGCTTCCCAGAACTTTTAAACTTCTTTGTTCCCAAAGTCCCCTCCTAACCTGGCCCTTTTCTAATTAGCCAACCGCTTAGACTGTGAGCCCAAAACCTGCGCAATCCAGGGGCAGGAGAGGGACAGCGGCGTCAGATAAAACCCCTGCGGACTTCCTGCCCGGCGTGCACCCTTCTGCAGAAGTAAATTTTGCCTTGCCTGTTGACTTCTGAGTAGTGTCGTCTCTCTCGTGACACCCCAATAGCTTATCTTAAAGGTATTTCTAACAAGCCCAGGTTCGGCACTGACCACTGGCAGAAAAGAAGAAAATAAAAAGAGGCTGGTGGTGGGGTACCACCTACGGCTCCAGTGGCGTCTTCGTCCACTGGAAGCTCACTCCTCAGGATGGCTTTGAGAGTTATCTGCCCTCTTTTTGTTAAGGGCTCCACTCCCAGGCGACTCACCCCCGGCGACCTGTTCCTACCACCCTGCCACGCAGCAGCGGTAAGGGAAGCGAGGAGAGACGGCTAGGACTCCCGACGAGGCCGCTCTCGCAGGGGACGGGGGAGCCCCGGTCACTGAGGTCCCGGCGGAGGTGGTGCCCAGACGCGGCTTCCGCAGAGCCCCCAAGCCGTCCCGCCCACCCCGCTCACCTCCTCCTTTCGCGACCGCTTGGACACCTTCTTCTCCATCTTGGCGGCTGTCTTCTCCGCGCCGCGGCCCTTCTTCTCCTTCTTGCCCTTTCTCCCCATCTCGCCGGATCTAAGGCGACGCCGGAATCCCTAGCAAGGAGCGCGGCGCGCGGCCTGCGAGGCGCGCTGAGATCGCGTCATTTCCGGTCCGTCTCCCCCGACTTCCGGCGTGGAGCCAATGCCCTGCCTCCCAGGGTGCTGGAGGCACGTTAGGGCGTGTTGCGGTCGGGGTGCGGTTGCTAACTGGAACTGGGTGACTCTACAATAGTCATGTTGTTTCTGCCTTGGACCCAATGAATGCCGTGGTCTAATTCCCCAGAGTGTTGGGTTTTTTTTTTTCTTGGTGGACTGGGGTTGAACTCAGGACTTTGTGCTTGCAAAGCTGGCACGTAAACGGACAGCTTAAGTCACACTTCAGTCCATTCTGCTTTGCTTATTTATTTATTTTGGCGGACTGGGGTTTGAACTCAGAGCCTCACGCTTGCTAGGCTACTCTACCACTTGAGCCACTCCACCAGACTTGTTCTGGTTATTTTGGAGGGGATGGGGGGCGGGGCCCAGGAACTGTTTTCCCCGGCTGGCCTCGAACCGTGATCCTCTTGATCTCAGCCTTCCAAGTAGCTAGGATACAGGTGTGAGCCACCCGCGCCTAGTTCCCAGAAAGTTTTTCCTGCACTTGCAGGGATTTCTGACCCGAGTTAAGACGGTCCCTTACCCCTTCCCACATAAAATGTGCCAGCTATTGTGCTAAACCATTCCAGAGCTGGTGATGTCACCTTCCAAGTTAGTCACTTTATCAAGTCTAGAAACAAAAAGATCCAATTGCCTGCTAGGGGGTTATGCTGTAGGATTTTTTTAAGCTTTATTATTAGTTTATAATAGTTGTGACGTTTCTGTATATGTATATAATGTACTCCGGTTTGGTTCATCCCCTCCCTTGTTCCCTCTCTCCCTCCTCCCAGTGCTCCAGGTTCTGACGTCTCTAATAAAGGGTTGTGTGGTGGAAATGCCCATTACCTAGAAGGTGCCATCTTTGGACTTGTAATCAAAGAAATAGAGACAAAGTAAGAACAAGGACAAGAAAAATTTGGCAAAAGGAAAGCATAGATCAGGAAATGATGGAGGTTCTTACTTTGTGGGTGACCTGCCAAAGGACAGCCTTTAAAGAAATCACCTTGGATCCATCAGTTTACTTATTACCGAGTAGCCAGGGAGGGATGGTTTGCCAACCCACTCCCAGCCCTGTCCATAGACCTGGTTCTATGAGAAGAAAAATTAAATTTGGGGAAGCAATGGGAAGAAAGGTACACCTGGGTTAAGGTTTCTGTGATCTCCAAGCACCGCTAGTAGAACATGTGTGATGGTAGGAAAAAAAAAAAGAACCAGTTAGAACCTGACCAGAAAGTAGCTGGAGAACTTCACAGAAAACTGGCGGTGCTTCTGATGAACTATGAAAGGCTAAATCTTCGTTGTTGCCCCCAGTGGAATAGTGACGTATCCTCTAGCGTGCTGTGGCTTTAAGAACATACCTAATCCTTTCCCACTTTCCTGAGAAAACTGGGCAATCTGAGTGTGATGCACTTGAAGCAAAATGGCCCTTCATTCACAGCACATCTGACTGCAGTACATGGCAGTGGGCCCTCTTCAGAGCTGCGAACGGAGAGTATATTCCCTGTTGAAGATTCAGAAGGATCTAGAAGATGCAGGGTTTAATACTTTTATTATCTGAAAGAATCTTGAAACTCAATTGGAAGGTTCTTGGATTATATGTGTCATAATGATTTACGTGAGATTGAAATTCTCATTACCAAGAAAGAAATGGAACAGAACGTCTAAAGTGAGGTCAGAATCCTAAAACAGAGAGAGAGAGAGAGAGAGAGGGAGGGAGGGAGGGAAGGAGGGAGGGAGGGAGAGATTAAGTGTGAGGTCTTTTTTAGTGAAAGTCGCATTTCTGAAAATTTAATGGGTATCTTAAACTCTTCTCTGTGGTCAGGCGCCCTCTGCTGCCTTCCAGTTGAAGTTCAGGAGAGTTAAAAAGTGAATAAATGAGGCAAAGAACGCTGACTTCAAATGACCTTCCCCACAAATCATCCACGTGATTGCAAGAACTGCCCAGGTGTGAGACAGAGAAAGTAGTTCTTTGCACACTTCTTACCTGGAAATAAGAGTAATAAGCCAATTCCCTACTACGCAGAATTCTTGGGAACATCAATAAAATAATAAAGCGTAAAACCAAACCATTGCTTCAGGTATTTCATCTAGTTTTCTAGTTTAAGGGAAAAGGTAAAGCTAGTCTTATAGATCCATAACAGTTGAAAGCTACAGTCTCTCCTCTTTGGGGTGTTATCTAATTTTCAAATACTTGGTGATTTTTTTTATTACCTCTTTGTCACTTATCTCTAACTTAACTCTATTGTTGTTGGAGAACATGCTCTGTTACTGGGACCCTGGTGGACCGAGGAGGTCCCTAGAGGGTGGTCCTCAGCTTGAGGAGTTTCTTTTGTTTTTTGGCAGTACTGGGGTTTGAACTCAAGGCTTCATGCTTGCTAGGCAAGCACTCTTAACATTTGAGCCACTCCACCAGCCACGGTCCTCAGCTTGGATATTGGGTTTATGGCATTGTTACAGAAAGGAATTTTAGGGCATATCAAAGTAGAGACCAAAAAAAGTTTATTACTAATCCAGAGGAAAGTACTGTGCACAGCCAGACACAGAAGCAGGCAATGGAAAGAGGTATACTGGGTGGTTAACATCAGAGGTATTTATAGTGAACAGCGGGTTGGGGGGCTGGTTTAAGTTCATCTTTGGATAAGTACTCCCTTTTGTTCTGGACACCTGGTATACTTCTTCATTCGTTCTTCTTACACTGTTTTGACATTATCAGTTGGGCCTAGATTTACCAAGTCTGGTTGCTTTACTAAATTTGGGTCATTGTGGCATAGATGTCTGAGTGTCCCTTTAAACAAAAGATGAGTTTCATCAGCTGTTCCTTTCAAACAAGCGTCTTTCCTTAAGATTTTTTTCCCTTTGCAAACATGTCTATGATCTGAGGAGTCATTTTACCAAATGCTTTCTTCCCAGGATTGTGTCTGTCTTTAAGATATTCTTGCTCAGTTCCCAGAGTGTGGTAATCATTTGGATGAGGTCAGAGGGGATATTTTTCTATTATATGCTCCAGCTCATGAGGAAGTATGAGAGCAAAGTGAAAGATGTGTATGCTCCTAGTCAAGGTATTCCTTCAGCCAGGTGCAGTGGCTCATGCCTGTAATCCTAGCTACTGCGGAGGCAGAGATCAAGAGGATAGTAGTTTGAGGCCAACCAGGGCAAACAGTTCAAGAGACCCTATCCAGAAAATACCCAACACAAAATAGGGCTGGTGGAGTGGCTCAGGTGACAAAAAAAGGTAATTCCTCTATATAGTACTTTTTTTTTTTTTTTGTTTCTAGCTTTTGATTCCCGTGCCTCAGTCCCCCCATCTATCCTGTCTCACTCTGCATGATTTTTTTTTTCACAGTACTGGGGTTTGAAGTCAGGACCTCACACTTGCTAGTCAGGAGCTCTACCACTTAAGCTACTCCACCAGCCCAGCTTTGCATGCTTTCAGTCCTTTTACATTGATGGAGTGTGCTTCGTTGTTCAGCACCTAGTCCTGGAGAATGTTCTGTGTGCTCATGGAGTGACTCTGGCCCTGCAGTTGTTTGGTGGCAGAGTTAGCCAGTGCCAGGTCCAGTGATTGGCCATGTTGCACAAACGTTGCCCGTCCTTAAGTGTCCTTTCTGAATTGTTTCTACTTGTTCGGACTAGTTCCAGAGAGAGGGACAGTAAGTTCTTCCACTGTCATTGGGGATTTGCCTGTTTATACTGTACACACAATAAATTGCATCTCTTTAAAGTGTCCATGTGTGGCCAGGTTGGTGTGGGTAGGCTCTAGGGAACAGAATGACATGAAATTGGCCCTGCCCTGTGAGAAGAGCCACCTACTCAGGTTCCAGGGTAGAGAAAACAAGCAGAGAATTTGTTGGCCTTGAAGACTCTGGGGAGGTCGGTCATCTTTTTAATTGACATTTTCGTATTTCTTGGCATGGAGCTACACGTTTTTCGGTTTTGTTTTTGTTTTTTTGTATGGGGCTACAGTTTGAACTCAGGTGTTTGGGCTTGCAAAGCAGGAGTTCTACAGCTTGAGCCACACCTCCAGACCTTTTTAGTCTTGTTATTTTGGAGATGGGGGTCTCGAAAACGATTTCCCCTCGGCTTGAGGAACCATGATCTTCCCTTCTCAGCCTCTCAAGTAGCTAGGATTGCAGGCATTTATGTGGGTCTCGAAAAATGTCCATAAGCAATTCTTTGTAGCTTTCAACTCCTGGGTCTTGCACATTGTTGGTTACTGGTATCATTACATATTTCATGGTTTTGATGACACCGTTCAGTAATTTCAATTTGTCAAGTAAGTGTTGCTAAAATACTGTCTTTTACACTAAACATGTATCCTAAAACCTAACTTCGCCTGTTAGCTCTGATAACTTTTTGTAGCTTCCCTGAGCTGGTCCACATCGGTGACTGTGTGGTCTGTGACTAGAAGCACTTTTGTGCCTTCCTTTCAATCTGGATGCCTTCTTATTTCTCTTGTCTTGCTCCAAGGCTAGAACCTCCAAGGGCTGTGTTGAACAGAGCATTGTTCCCAATCTTAGGAGGAAAGCACTCATTCAGTCTTTGTAGTAGGCAAAATTCTAAGACAGCCCCCAAGATCCCCACCCCCTCACGTACATGCCCTGTAATCCCAGGACCACATGTGACGGACATCGCTCATGTGTCAGGTCTCCTTGTACAGCAGGCTTGACCGTCTTCTCTCCTTCCGGAGACTGAGTGTTTTGTCTCACTTAACCAGGGAAGTCCCTAAAAGGGGCCAGGCTGGTCCTGGTGAAAGAGGTGCAAGTTCTGGAAGAGTCTCCATTGTTGGCTCTGAAGACGGAGGGACCACGAGGCATGGAAAGCAGGTGACATGCGCTGACAGCCAGCCACGGATAGAATCTGCGGCCCTATAACTACAAACAGTTCTGCCATAGCCACAACCACATGTGCTTAGAAGAGTAGCTGAG